AGTTACTGCCGACGCTTAACCGCCGACCGAGGGAGCAGCGCTCGCCCGTTATCATAAAGGTGGCTGCGATATTTCGGTCGCTGATGAGGGGATGCCCGCAAGAAAACGCAGCAGCGACGGGGTGGAGTTGTTGGCCTACCGAACAGCGCGTGGAGGTGACTTGTACATGATCGATGACTGATTCCCAGCTGAAATTGGTTGGCACCGGCGAAGAGCATTGAGCTTCCATTGTTTATCCGCAGAAGAAAACTGAATTTAAGACTTCGTCGCAGGGCTTAACACCATTGCTGATCCCAAAACTGCAAAGTTACGCCGTGTTATCCTCAAAATAGCAATATTATGATGGCGTATCCTTACCTTCATGAATTTATAGTCACATCCGATGAATTTACTTCCTGCTGAGGTCAAAGGAACGATCTACGTTCAAACAGTTGATGCCTTCCGGCGCAAAGTAAGATGTGTGTTAATCGGGGTACGTAGTCACAAATGTGGTAAGAAATAGTACTCTTTAATGCACGGGATTTCCGGGGAAAAGCATTAAAAAAGAAGAAAATCATAATGCCACATGATGCCTTCCGGCACAAAGTAAGGTCCGTGTTAACTAGGGTACGTAGTCACAACTGTGGTAAGAAATAGTACTCTTTAATCTACGGGTTTCCGGGCAAAAGTATTAAAAAAGAAGAAAATCGTAATGCCACATAAATAAACACGTGCGTAAATAACATTTATGCACGGTTATCCACATGTTATCCACAGCGACCGTGCACAAATACAATACAACGCAATGCAAACACATGGATAGCAGGCCACTTTATCAAAGCAAAGAGAGGGTGCCACCTTCCCGAGCTCGACAGCCCGGCAAATAGTGACGATGCGTGTCTAATGTTAATCCAGGAAAGCCCTATCTGGAAAAGTCCACGTTGAAATTCAATGTTTGTGCAAATCAGCACGATTTTGCTTAAAATCTTGCAGGAAAAATATTTTGGCAACGCGGACAACGTTCACGTTTCTAATTGTACGGGAGAAAGGCTTGAAACCTTGACACGCGTCTTAGTGGACGATTTAATACGATGTGCTCGACGGAATGGGGTGGAGGGTTATGGTGCTGAAGTTGACCCCCTAAGCTATGATTAGGTAGAAGAGCCATAAACATAAATTCACGCGGTAGGTAGTACTCTAGTTGAACCCGTTTTCATGACATTTCTACAGCTCTAGATCAGGTTGCCTTGCCTTACCCCTTAACGCGAAAAAGTTGACCTGGAGGTCTGTGATGGAATTGCTCTCAGATGTTCCCACGCGGCCTACGTGAACCGATATATTTTGCCGAAGAAAAGGCTAGTAAGTTTGATGTCCGGTCAGGGATGCTATTTAGCCTTTGAAAGGTCAAATTCACACTTCGAAATCATTTTGGTCTTAAGGTTTCAAAATTGAGCAAAACAATTTACCGTGGGCAGAGTTTTTCCAAAAAAAGGTTTGTGAAGGCCATTTTAGGTAAATGCCATTTTCCGACTTTCCTAAAGTCAACAAAAGAAAACGTTCACATTTTAGGGATTGCGGAATTCAAAATAAGCGCATAAATCTACCTTATTTAACACGTTTTCCATGAAAACACCGTTTGGTCCTTGCATCTTTGGCCCTTATGATTTATTCAAGGTAATTGGAACTGGCTGTTTGCTATGTCCAGTTGCCGAACTGTCTAAACCCATTTCAAAAGCCGCATGCCTTCGCTGCAACTCTGCTGTAGCATTAGCTTGAAAGTTGCACTAAGCTGGCAACCATGGCCTGACTTGGGCACACCACAGCTTAGGGGACCTTTATGGACGCATCTCATTTTGAGCAACACAGGCATGCCTCCTTATTTTCAACAGCTGTGCAAAGTAGGCGTCGCCACATCGTACCGTTCGGAAGTTATTCTGAAAAACGTAGGGGTGCCCACTTGACCTCACAGGTTACGTGTTGATACGCGGTCGAGTGGGATCTATTTGACCCTAGTGAGTTTTTTCCCAGAATAACTTCCAAACGATATCGCGCAGCAACACAAAACTTTGCCAGCTGCAGATAATTGAACAATCCATCCAATGCAAAAGAAAATATGTGCCTCTTAAGGTCGCTGACCTGTGCCAGGTCAAATTCAGGCATTGGTTGTCAGCGCAGGCAATTCTCAGGAAATTTTTCAGGCTGATGTGACAGAGGAGTGTTTGGCGAAGCCAAACATAATTGAGGTGGCTTCGTAGACAATTAAACAATTCAAATTACGACTTCAGCCAATTCCATTGGCATTCGATAAGATACCAAAATCAGATTAATATGAAACCATGCCGCTTTTTTGCTGAAAGACTTGCTGAATGACATAGTTTTGACTCTCACTTTGAATTCTTTGGTCGCAAGGTCGTCAGCACACCTCTTATTTTGACTTCATGGAGGTCAGTAGAGGTCACGACCTAAGATGAGTTAGATGATCCTTTTGCTTCGAGGAATATGCGGTTTTAGATACTTTTGTACGCTGATGTTAAATTCAAGTAGCAGAGAGAGCCAAATAGATTTGATTATTTGACCTTCTGCAGATGAGATAAGGCCAGTGACCTATCATGACCCCGAGTGACCTTTATTTTGACCAGACTTGTATGTTAAAACTGTCTGCGTGAGTGTTGCTTTCTTAAGCACTTCGTCTTCCCACAAATCCAATGCAGGTCGTTTGTGCGGATCGACTTTCTGGTGCCATGGCCTCTTTGGTCTTTCCTATACTGTTTGTGCCTTTTTGTCCTGGTAAATCATTTCTAGGTAAGCACGTAAGCATGCGCGTGCATGTAAGTGCTGCGTGCGTCGCGTGTGTCCTTGCTATGACAACCGCATGTTTGACTTGCCGGTAATTGGTGGCTGTTCTTGACCACATAACGAACATACACACAGATGTGGCCGCTTGATCAACTGGTAAAGGCTGTGATGATACTCATTTTGTTGTTTCTTATACAGTTTTCCACGATAACCTACAGCGTTTGGTGTTACCATCGCATGCGGTCTGTCGATTAGGAAGCGTCGCGTGCCAATTATCAGTTCCAGAGCGTAGGCGGAGCCTATACGTCTGGGGACTCGGCTCCACGATGTTTGCCTTGACCCACAACACTGGGGCTCAAACTAACCAACGAAGACACAGCGCTGGGAAGTTTGAAATGCATCTTAACGGTTTCTAAAGCAATGGTTTCTAAATTTGTGAACCTTTGTGACCTAACACTGTCCTTAACACGCGCTCGGGTGTCTCGGGCAGATGTCGCATGGGCGGACATTGCACGTATGTGTGAGAAAAGCAGTGCAACTGCCGTCCGTATTGTAACTTTGGATGTATGGATGTCAGCAAAATAAACAAACTGACCGTCATTATTGAGTGAATCAATTCTTCACACAACACACAAATTAGCTAACCCAAATGAGCTCAGCTAACTCAAATGATACCATTTTATATTACTTAACACGCGCCCAAGTGGCCGCCTAGATACCCTTCGTTCGGGTGGGGGGGGGGGGGGGCAATTTGACCCCGCTGAGATCTCGGGAACTAAGAAAGCTAGAGACACCAAATTTGTAGGGTGTGTTAACCAGTACGTGAGCTCACTCAGGTCAAAGGTGCAGGTTCCTACGTCATGAACTTGGGGTCAAAAGAGGTCAAAAAAGGTCAAGTTCCAGGTTGGTCCCTAAGGTCCCCCTAGAACCTAGATAACCGTTTCTAAGCAAAAGGTCACATTATCATTCAAGGTCAGTGACCTTGTTTGACCTTTTGAAGGTCCAGGTGACCAAAATGAATACAAGATTGCTTTGAGTTTTGCATTTGACTAAGCGACAAAAGTTACGGTAGGCAGCATGTTCCTATAAAAAAATATTGACCTGAGTCATTTTAGGTCAATGATCTATTCTGACCTCAAAGAAGTTTATAGAAGGTGTATAATGAGGTTCCTGCTATCAATAAGCTCGAAATGAGCACCAGAAACTATCCCATACAGCAAGCCCTGAGTAACAAAACAGGTTGGTTTTGACCTTGGTGTGACTTTCTTGCCTGACCTTAGGTCAATTTAATTGCTTATTCAACTGTTGTATTGCCTAAGAAAGTATCTCAGAGATGCATGGCTTCGTCTTACGCTCCGTTGTTGGATCAGATTGAACGATTCCCTAGAAATTGCCTTCGCTTAAACCATGGCTTGACTTTGACCTGCCATAAGTCAGCAACCTTACAAGGCACATCTAAATTGTTGATGTCAAACGATCCGCTATTTAATTGTCTACAGCTATGCAAAATTTGGCGTGGTTACGCCGCGCCGTTCGGAAACCATTCTGGAAAACCCTTGGGGGGGGGGTGAATTTGACCCCCACTCGAGCGCGTGCTAGAAACGTGCCTCAGTCATGCGAATTTGTGGCATACTGACCTTAAGTTAAGTGGTAACCTTTTTGCGCCCGTAATGCGCACTGAACGTTCATTATTTTTTTTAAAGATTAAATCTGAGCCTTTTGAACGCATAGATTTCTTGGATCGGAGTTAACGCCAACTGGTGCTTGTTGTGGGAGCCATGACCCTTACCATCCGATAGTCGCAATTCCAGATCAACAGCAGAACGGCACTCAAGTGGCTGATGTAAACCCGGCGGCCACCCCAGTAGCAATGGATTTATTTAGCATGCAACATCCCACTGCGGACGTTGATCGCAATGGTAATGGTGTTTCGATGGATACCTTTAAAAATCCGATGGCCCATCCACTTAAATGGAGTGAGAGGGGAGTATTCAGTCACATGCTCCTTCGCTGGCTTGGTTTCTTAATCCTGCCCAGAAGGTACAACGCAGCCATGTGAAGGCGACCAATACCAGCCAATATCTCGGATGCTTTGCTCTGGCTGGGTACACTAACTGGCGACCTACCGCTGACGGGAGGGCGGACAGGTCGGAGAGGGGGGGGGGGGGGGTCAGCGGCTACCGGTGCCCATAACACTCACCAACACTGACTGCCCCTGTCCGCAGGCTACGGCAACATCGCCCCGCGCACCAGCATGGGCAAGATTGTCACCATCTTCTACACGTGCGTGGGCTTTCCGCTGTTCCTGCTGTACCTCTCCAACATCGGCAGCGTTCTCGCGCAGAGCTTCAAGTGGATATACGCCAAGCTGTGCAAGTGCCAGCCGGCGCGTCTGGAGATGGTGGTCGAGCCGGAGCTGGCCGACGAGGAGGCGGCGCGGCCCGAGCGCTGGCCGGACGAGCTCGGGTCGGAGCGCAGCCAGCCGGAAGACAGCAGCGAGGCCGAGCGGTCGACTAGCGCCGCCAGCGGCGCCGACTCCCTGCTCGACCTCAGCACCGTCACCGTGCCCATATCCATGTGTCTCATCATCATGGCAGTGTACATATGTGGCGGCGCCATGTTCTTCGCGCGGTTGGAGGGGTGGGACTTCCTGACCAGCTGCTACTTTTGCTTCATAAGCCTTAGCACGATCGGGTTTGGTGACTACGTGCCCGGCGACTCGATCCGCTCCGACTCGGGCCGAGTCGAGGCTGGCTTCGTGCTAACCTCCATGTACCTCATGCTTGGAATGGCCATCATCGCCATGTGCTTCAACCTCATGCAGGAGGAGGTGATCCAGAAGGTGCGGTCGTGCGCCAAGTGCCTGGGCTGCCTGCGCGAAGACGGCTGAGCGGGAGAGACCCGCGCCGGCCGGCGTGCCGGCGCGCTCCCTGGTTCTGGCGCGGAGCGAAGCAGGGCGCGGCTTGGGCGCCTCCCCGGGACAGCCGCGCCCGGGGAGGCCGGGAGCCGAGCCCGGGGAGGCCGGGAGCCGAGCCCGGGGAGGCCGGGAGCCGAGCCCGGGGAGGCCGGGAGCCGAGCCCGGGAGGCAGGGGGCGGCCAGCAGGGCCGGCGCCAGCGGCGCCACCCCATCCAGCACGGCGGCCAGCAGCCAGCCGGGCGGCCGCGGCCGGCCCGTCGACACCGCGGGCCAGGCATGCCTGCAGCGGCACGGGCGCGCCGGGAGCGGCCGGGCGCCACCCCACAGCGGCGCCCCAGCCCGCGGCCGGGCGCCACCACAGCGGCGCCCCAGCCCGCGGCCGGACCACGGCCACACGACAGCTGGGGCCAGGTCCAACCTGGGCCACGGCTCACCTCGACAGACACTGGTGTCAGCAAATTTGTTAACCGGAGCGTTAAAAGCAAGTAGGCAATAGTTAGTGATATTTAGTGTGTATTTGTACATCAGCCCCGTAGAAGTGTCTAAACCGTCCACGACGTCTGCCGGCTTTCATTGTTTACTTAGTGCCCATGATATGTCCCTGGTTGTGATCGTCGTTCATGAGTAGTTTGCGCTGCCGAATTTGTACCAGTCAAATAGAACCGAATATCGTAGTGTCCCGCTCCGACCAGTCATGTGAGCGCATGGCAAGGCGGTCCTCAGGCCGACGCAAGAGCCAGAGGACGGGGTGACCCGCCGCCAGCCGGTCACGGAGCCGAGCCACAGCTGGTTCTGCGCCAGCGGCCGGCCGGCGGCCAGGCCAGGACGACCGCGGCCCACCAGAGCGTGCGTGACGGCCGGCGCCAACCAGCCGCGTGCGCCCTGATTCACAGCGGCGCTGGGTGCAGCCAAGCAGCTCGCCGACACAGGGCGCCGTGCGTCAGCGGCGACCGCCGTCCGTCCTCCAGCCGACGCTGCTGCCAGGAGGCTCGAGCAGGCGTGACACGGGCTTAGAAGCACCGGCTGCCTCATATCCGGTCTCCAGCCCCGCCGTCCGGTCTCCAGCCCCGCCGTCCGTCCTCCAGCCGACGCTGCTGCCAGGAGGCTCGGGCAAGCGTGACACGGGCTTAGAAGCTCCGGCTGCCTCAAATCCGGTCTCCAGCCCCGCCGTACGGTCTCCAGCCCCGCCGCCCGTCTGGTCTCCAGCCCCACCGTCTGTTCGGTCTCCAGCCCCGCCGTCCGTCCCGTCCCCAGCCCCGCCGCTCGTCTGGTCTCCAGCCCGCATCTTACCGGTATCGAGCCCCACCTGTCCTTCCGACCTCCAGCCCGCCGTCCCTCCGGTCTCCAGCCCCACCGCACGTCCGGTCTCCAGCCCCGCCGTCCGTCTGGTCTCCAGCCCCACCGTCCAGTCTCCAGCCCCGCCGTCCCCCTGGTCTCCAGTCCCGCCGTCCGCCCGGTCTCCAGCCCCGTCGACTGTCCGTTCTCCAGCCCGCCGTCCGGTCCCGTCTCCAGCCCGCATCCAACTGGCGTCGAGCCCCACTCGTCTGTTCCGTCTCCAGCCTGCATCCTACCGGTCTCCAGCCCCACCGTCGGTCCGTTGTCCAGCCCCGTCGTCCGTCCGGTCTCCAGCCCCGCCGTCTGTCTGGTCTCCAGCCCCGCCGTCTGTCTGGTCTCTACCCCCACCCATCCGTCGGGTCTGCAGTCCCCGTCATCTCAGCGATTATCCGTGGCGAGGAAAGAGTCCATACATCTTCCTTAGTTTCCATGTAAACGCCAGCCTATGAACAGCGACTGTGTATATAGAATATGGATGTCCACGATGGGTGGCATGGTGCCGATCACTGTCTGAAAACAACGACCAACGTACGAGCAACAGGCGGTTCATCACAGTATCACGTGGAGTGGGGTGGGCCCATTCTGCGCCCCCATCCACACCTGACAATTAGGTCCTGCTGGTCTGGCCAGCCACCTCAACATCCAGAATGCGTGCTAAACAGCTGTTCGATTTGTGCAGCCAATTAGGGTAGGCAGCTGTTTGACAACTGTCCACAGGGTAAGGTTACAAACCATAAATATTGTGTTTGAGAAATGTGCCGATTGGCTTGAAAACGGAAGGGACGGGCGATTCCTGCTGCGAAAGTGTGGAGGCTGGATTGGGTCGAGGGACCGGAGGGCCACCATGCCATTCATGCTACGACAAAGGGTAGGGCGCGCACGTAGAACAGTCGGCTTCTGGCCAGGAATTGAGAATTTATCACTTTTGATGCGGAATCGCAACTCGTCGACGGCAGATCCAGGAACCACGAAACGTACTCGATAAAACGTAAATAATGTAAAATAATTCTCACTTAATAGATCGGTGGAAACGGATTAAGGCCATCCGCTTTGGCAGGAACAAACAAAAAAGAATTCAACAAACCACAGGTGGAATTCCAAATGAGTCGGCCATGCAAGAACAGGGTTGATGGTGGGTGGCCTTTACCGATAGGCCCTACGGATAACAACTTTTAGCACGTTTCAGTGCTCGCTAGAGGTTGATAGATGGACGCAATTCCTCTGTCCCAGCGAGTTACGACAGCTGACGACAAGAGCTGAGCACGCGTACATTGAGCACCACGTTAACACGCAGGTACAAGCCAGGGTATCACAGGCGTGGTCAGCCCAGCACGCACTGCGGAGAGCCCGTCCCTCCGTCGGTAACAGAGAGTCCGATCTGTTGACTAGGCTAGACCGCACGGCACACTGCCCTGCCAGCCGCGCACGCTGGCCTCTGCAGCTACACCTCTGCCCAGACAGCCGTGCATGCTGGTCTCTGCAGCTACACCTCTGCCCAGACAGCCGCGCATGCCCGCCTCCGCAGCTACACCTCTGCCCAGACAGCCGTGCATGCTCGCCTCTGCAGCTACACCTCTGCCCGACCAACTGTGAACGCTGGTCTCCAGCTACACCTCTGCCCTGACAGCCGTGCATGCTCGCCTCTGCGGCTACACTTCTGCCCTGACAGCCGTGAACGCTGGTCTCTAGCTACACATCTGCCCTGACAGCCGTGCATGCTCGCCTCTGCGGCTACACCTCTGCCCGGCCAACTGTGAACGCTGGTCTCGAGCTACACCTCTGCCCTGACAGCCAAGCACCTGGCCTCTGCAGCTACACCTCTGCTCTGACAGCCGTGCATGCCCACCTCTTCCCTGACAGCCAAGCACCTGGCCTCTGCAGCTACACCTCTGCCCCGACAACCGTGAAGGGTCGCCTCTGCCGCTACACCTCCCAAAAGGCATTTACCATATGCAATATGTTTTTGCATGGCATACCTACAGGTGTTACATTTATACCTTATATAAATAAATACAAACATATATATATATATATATATATATATATATATATATATATATATATATATATGCATTTGTGTGTGATATCTTAACCCACGAACATGCACAAATGTAAATCAAATGCATAAAACAACGACAAAATATGTATACATCATTTGGGTCCACAGCCTGCATGGTGACCTCGCTCGGCCGGCGCGGCACCGCGACCGCCAGTTCGTGCCACGAGGCTTTCGTGACAGGTCAGTCGCTCCCTCCCACCCGATCCAGTGGGCCGGGCCACCGGCCAGCCGACAGCGATGCGCCGACCTAGCCGTGCTCGACGGGCACCGGAGGGCTGCCGCCGCCGCCGCCGCCGCCGTGTGGCGCCACCTGCCGCTCCAGGCGGCGCTGCACGTAGTCCTGTAGATGGCCAGCCACGCGGCCCTCTGGGGAGGCAGGGGGGGGGGGGGGGGGGGCGGTGAGACGACGCCGCTTTACGCACGGCCGCACGGATAACACACGACGCTACGGCCGTCAGCGGCTGACGTGGGGCATGTTCGGCGCGGTTATGTGCTAAGGGATTATAAACAGGTATGCGGCCTTCCGCCACGCGTTCGACCTTACTTTCATGCCACGACAAAGTTAACTCACAACAGCCAGTTTCATCAAGAGCAAAAAGTGCATAATTTTGACATACCGAGTATCTGCCCAGTATTTTACTTAGAAGACGTTTGTATAAAGTAAGGAGTAGCTAAGGACTCTCACGCCAGTAAAATTATGTTATTGACGGGGAAATCTGAGGAAACAAGTCACCCCGTACTTCAGCAAGCATTCATTGCGTTCCATAAACGCTGCTACTTTGCTCATGGAGTAGAAATTCGCTGCGGAACTGGAGCAACATGAACAAAGGTTCTGTCTCGTCGGAAAGGCAGCAGTGTTGGTTACAGAGGAGCAATGCCGACAGTGGAGGTAGACTAAACATCAACCTACAGTGGAAGATTGTTGAGCGGACTCTGCACGTCGGGCAGGTGTCGCACGGGCTGACGTTGTACGTATGTGTGAGAAAAGCGCTGCAACTGCCGTCCGTATTGTAACTTTGGATGTATGGATGTCAGCAAAATAAAAAAACCGACCGCCATTATTGATTGAATCAATTCTTCACACAACACACAAATAAGCTAACCCAAATGAGGTAAGTTAACTCAAATGATGACGCCATTTTATGTTACTTACCACGCGCCCGGGTGACCGCCTAGTTACCCTTCAATCAGGTGGGTGGGGGGGGGGGGGGGCAATTTGACCACCCTGAGATCTCGGGAACTGAAAAGCTAGAGACACCAAACTTGCAGGGTGTGTTGATCTGTCCGTGAACTCACTCAGGTCAAAGGTTCAGGTTCCTAGGTCATGACCTTGGGGTCAAAAAAGGTCAAATAAGGTCAAGCTCCAGGTTGGTTTCCAAAGTGCCCCAGAACCTAGATAACCGTTCCTAAGCAAAAGGTAAAATTTTTATTGAAGGTCAGTGACGTTGTTTGGCCTTTTTAAGGTCAAGGTGACTAAAATCATACAAGATTGTTTTGAAATTTGCATTTGACTAAACGACAAAGATGACGCTAGTCAGTATGCTCCTAAAACAAAATGTTGACCTGGGTCATTTGAGGTCGATTACCTATTCTGATCTCGAAGAAGTTCATGGAAGATGTATAATGCGGTTCCTACTACCAATAAACTCGAAATGAGCACTATAAACTATCCCATACAGCAAGCCCTGGAGTAACAAAACAGATTGGTTTTGACCTTAATGTGACCTTCATACCTGACCTTAGGTCAACGTAATTTGCTCATTCAACTGCTGTGTTGCCTAAGAAAGCATCTCAGAGATGTATGCCTTCATCTAACACTCCGTTTTTGGATCAGATTGAAGGATTTCCTAGAAATTGTTTTCGCTGAAACCATCGTCTGGCTTTGACCTGCCATACGTCGGCGACCTTCCAAGGTACATTTGAATTTTGATACCAAACTATTTGTCATTCAATTTTCTATAGCTGTGCAAAATTTGACGCGGCTATGCCGCGCCGTTCGGAAACCATTTTGGAAAAACCTTCGGGGGTCAATTTGATCCCTACTCGAGCGCGTGTTAAGCGGTATGTTTGGATTAAACGAAGCATCCCACCTTTTTGTACTCTTCACCTATTGTTTGATCGGACGCGTACAATTTGATAAGTATTGCCAGTTATCTAGAAATCTTGCTGAAAAGCTCTCAATTTCGAATTGAAATAGCTGCTTCCAGGGGCGGATCCCAGGTTTCGTCAAGGGGTGTGGGTCACGCAGCATTGTGGGCCCCCTAGAGTTTGGGCTCCCTCCAAAAATATCCTTGCATTCTGGTCATAAAATGTTAGGATAAATGACGTGTATGACAAAAATTGATATATTGATATTTATGTATGCATATCAGTATATATTTATAAAAAACAAATACATATTGCATTCACATGTATATATATATATATATATATATATATATATATATATATATATATATATATATATGTATATGCATATGATAAATACGGAAACCAATCTCACTGTGCGCAATGCATGTGCATACGGCTGTAGACGTACCACGTACGTACATACATAGATCTCATTCATTTTCTACAGATCATGTTAAATTCTTTGATTCTGAGGCTAAGTGCTTCGGAACGACAGGCAAAATAAACTCCATTTGGCTCCTAAGTACCATCAAAACCGAGCACGGACTTGATTCCTAGCTTATTTACGGTTGGCCGGCTGGGCGATCTAATCAACTGATGTCTGATGCCTGATGCAGAATTTTTCCTCTTGATGTAAAGAAGAAGATATCCTATATATGAAGATGATATCCTAGCAATCAAAATATGTTGAGAGCGTAGTGCACAAATATCACAAATGCTGCACACTCAATAGCCAAGGGAAATCATACGTACGACGCCAGCGGGACGTGAAATTACGTTTGAGTATGTGACTGCTGCTCCGAGGCTAAGGCGCTAAGGCCAATAGTGACGGAACCGGACCGATCATGGGTGCCGCAGGAGGCCAACTAAGAGGCTCCCGTCTATAGGTGTGGGATCCTCAGAGAAAGCGAAAAGAGCTCATCACCAACGTGGTGGGCCCCTAAACGACCGGTAGTGCCCCCACACGGTGCGATCAAGAGTGACAGGGCAGATTAATAGCAAGAGCGTCTCCACACCGCAAAAGCGGTGTGAAGAATCTTCTGCAAAGTAAATCAAAGGGAAAGAGTCCACGATCAAAGAAGAGGGCCCCTCAGCATCGAGAGTCTCGGTGTCTTACTTGTAAGCACTCGACCTACGCTGAACTGGAGAAGGCTAGAACTACCTTTCTCAACACTGATCCTATTTAGGTGGTACGTGACGCAGGCCCACACATCAGAGGTCTCTGATGCGCCAGCGGCGGATTCAGGGACAAAAATGGCGAGGTGCGTTGGTGCTGAATTTTCGTCCTCAGCGAAGCTGAATTGCTTTTTAAAACCGCAAACCGATAGGGTAAGATGGGACGAATTGGGGCACTTTTCCAACGTCATGTGTTAAGTCCTGTGACGGGCTCAGTATGTGAGAGCTTAGTACCCACAAGGCTTTGCAGCCGCTTGCGCGTGTAAGATGCCCTACCGCCATGTATCCTCCATGTCTATTGTAATTGCCTGTAAGCTAGAAAATCTACATCCGGCTCAAAATGAACATCACGAAGGAAAAGCTGGCCGTAAGAGGATATGTAACACGACGGAAAACAAATTAACTTACTCTACTTTACTCCTCTAAACACTACTCTAAACCCATGGCCACTCCTGTAACAATACATTACAATACATCGCTCCCCATGGCTGCTAAGAAAGCGGTTTTTATTTCACAGATGCGAAAAGCCGTGCGGGTATCTGCTGATCACTAAAAGTGTGAGTGTAATTTGAATGTATTTCCTTGTGCGTGAGAATGGATACCAAGAACACAATATTGGAACTGGCGCTTTGAGTGGATGGGTTTTTTAGATTATAGCCTAGACTACGCAGCGTCTGTTGTGTGATCCCTGATACCTACCAACAGATCGTGAAATCACCGGTCAACGGCAGATGTGAAGGTTTTATGTTCGGTACAACGGCACGAGATCTCAAGGGGGGGGGGGACGAATCCGCCACTCGCCCGGAATAGGTTTATCAGATAGCCCACCTGTTCCAAGTGAGCTATCTGATAAACCTATTGCAACAGGGTTTACCAGGAACAGGGTTATATAAATAACAAACCGGGAACAGGGTTAAATACTTCATTTTTGAGAAGGACGAATGCGACTGGTCGAAATGAGAACTATATTTCTTCGATCGTTAAATTACCGTGACACGGTATTTTAATCCGGTAGAGAACACGTCATAGACGAGACGCGCGGCCAGCGGGCGAGCGGAAGTGTGAACGGGTTCATCGCGCTCCGACTGACTGTTGGCCTGTTTGTAGAGACGCTCCATCAGCTGCCCGGCCTCCTCCGGTCTGATGGCCGAGCCAGATGACGACAGACGCAGACGCAGCACCTGGCCCATGTCACGTAGTGTGGCCGTCATCCGTCCTGCGTGCATCAGGGCGCGGCGAGTCAAAACCTGTGTCAGGTCGCCACCAGTGAAAGCCTATATCGGGTCACGGTCATATGTTGCGTGCATCAGGTCACGGGCAGAAACCTGCATCAGGTCACGGGCAGAGACTTGCATCAGGTCACGGGCAGAAACCTGCATCAGGTCACGGGCAGAGACTTGCATCAGGTCACGGGCAGAAACCTGCATCAGGTCATGGGCAGGGAGCCTAATCGCATCACAGTCGGCAAGAGCCTGCATCGGGCCACGGCCTACCAGAGCCTGCATCAGATCACGGTCTGCCAGAGCCTGCATCAGGCCACGGCCTACCAGAGCCTGCATCAGGCCACGGCCTGTCAGAGCCCGCATCAGGCCACGGCCTGTCAGAACCTGCATCAGGCCACGGCCTGTCAGAGCCTGCATCAGGTCACAGTCTGTCAGAGCCTGCATCAGGCCACGGCCTGTCAGAGCCTGCATCAGGTCACAGTCTGTCAGAGCCTGCATCAGGTCACGGCCTGTCAGAGCCTGCATCAGATCACGGCCTGTCAGAGCCTCATCAGGTCAGTCTGTCGGAGCTTGCATTAGTCCACTGCTAATCAATCACGGTTGTGGCCATCCAGTCACAGGCTGAGACAAATATCCGGGTTCCAAACAAACCTCCTTCATCCCCGGCAAATCACATCGCTCTGAATCGTCCTCGCTTTGGCGGTTTGCTGCCTGCCGTGACGGCTTAACACTCTTCAAAAGTTGTGTTGTGCGGCTTTAAAGGCATTCTCACGCATACCGTCGGGTTGGGCGCTGCTTTCTGCGAGTCCGAAACACAAACAACATGCGTTCCCCCAGTGGCCGGTCACGGGTACGTACACGGAACAGTTGTTGATTTTGCGTCCACACCGATACCGATTTGCACGTAACTTGGCGATCGCGAATTGATCGTTTTCGTTCAAAGCCTAAGAACTATCGATTTCTGCAACACTAGTCTGCCAAAAAGTCGATGGGACCTGGACGCCACAGACCCCATTGGTGATAACGTCCGATACTGATATGATCAGCTAAAAGTTGCCTTCACAAAAACTATGGCCGGCTTAGCTGCTTCCACTCGAACAAAACTCGGAATTTGCTGCACAGCTTTTCCGGCGCACGCTCATAGAGGTGTGCATTTCCATCGCATAAAACCACCGCCGTAGTGAATGTGACGGGTGGGGAACCGCAGAGGCGACAGCGTTTGTCATAATGAGGGGGATAGAAATGGGGAAATGAAGCAAGGGGAGGGGGACGGCGACACACCCGTCCGGCCATTGCTGCGACCGGCGCTGCAATGACGGTTGAGAATTCCAGGCTATTTTGACGCTGATGTTCCCATCTAACAAGTGACATGATGATTGGATGGCGTGCCAGCAGAGGATGTCTAAGATACAATGCACCAGGCTGAGTATGCGCACGAGTCTCGCCAATTGTCGTCAATGAAGGTAGTGTCAAGTATGTCATAGTCTGGTCTCCGCGGAACGGCTGAAGCGTACAGAAGCAATGAAAAGTGTCGCAAAGTACATATAGAAACTGAAAACACTATCAAAAATACGAAAAATGCACCTTCAGCTCCACATGCCACCAACTATGCCGATTCTGACAAGCCGTACCACCTCCGGCCGGTAACTCACTGTGCTCTTCATTAAGTCCAGACAGCTGTATCTTATTAGCCTCATGCTGAGCCTTCTTCTTCAGCCGACAAACTCTGAAACAGCGGGCCTGTCACCGCGTGCTGGTCATAGTCGCCTTACTATGACGTCGTCCGCATTCCGCTAATCACGCGGTGTGCCTGCAAAGCTCCGGTCAGCTACTTAGCCCTGAAGTGTACTGTTTGTGAACGACAGGCGCCTCGGGCGGCGGCAGGGGCAGCCACCCGGGTCAGCAGCCGGACAAGAGATAGCGGAGACTGTCGTCTCGCCACCAGACTGGCGGACTCTGCATAGCCCTGGTTCTGCCTGAGCCCAGTCCAGCACCATGGTCGCGCCCACTGGCGACCGTCTCCGGCCGCTGTCGGCAGCAGGGACGTCGAACCATGCTCCCATGGCCAGTCCCACGCATAGCGCACTTGGTCGGCCCACCTGGAGGCCAGCTTGTTCTTCTCCTTGCGTGACTCAGACCGCACGTTCAGCGGCAGCTCGGAGAGAGGCGTCATGTCGTCGATGAGGCGGTTCAGCTTGTCCAGGTCGCAGCGGATGCTGATCAGCTTCCTCGGACTGGGCGTCAGGTCGTTGCCGTCGCCGCGCCGTGCCTTCCCGCTGCCGGGGGGCGTACGCCTGCCCATATTACCCGCTCCACACGCCGACACGTACACACACGCATGACGTCCTTCCACGACACGCAAGCATGCGCATTGAAAGTGTTTCTGTTCATTTCTCTCAAAACCTCTGTATTTTGATCGCATGGCAGAATTTGTGACCCTATGATCTGATCTTCCATAATGGGGGGAGACGTGACGTACAGACGTTGCTAGCGCAGAATGAGTTCACATAAGTGAACCGTCAGGCGTAAGAAAAAGCACATTTGCGAATACCGCAAGAGTATAATATTTAAGCGATACTAACTACGACACTCCGTCACTCCAGCCTGCGACAGCGCACAGTCCCCGCCAGCCGTGACGCACGCTCCGGTGACGAGCGGCGCTGCAGCACTCGGCAAAAACGGCAATCGAGGAAGCCCGAGCTCAATCCTGTGCTGCTTCCACACAGTGAAAACCAACCGACCTTATTACACAGCCGGCGGCGGCCTACATACCGAGCCGCGGCGCGCACAACCTGGCCCCGCCTCGGCGCGGCTCTGGCCGGGCAGCAGCAGTACCTGTGCTGGATGCCGTCCACTTGGAAGCTGCTGGAGAAAACCGGGTCTACCGGCTGGCGAGCTTGGAACGGGTCAGCCATCTCCGGGGTCAGCTGGAGCCGCTGTCCCTTCGGCCCCTTGGCCTGCACGTTGTACTGCCAGAAGTAACGCTCCTTCCGGCCCAGCGACTGGCTCAGGCTCTCGTCGCCCCCGACGTTGGAACCTGGAGTGGCGTCGACAGAGAATATACGGAAGCTGGTCAGCAGCACAGGGATCGGCGACGACAGCGAACGGTGCCACGAACGGTGCCGACTACGGCATGGTATCATAGCGTCACACTCATCGAGGCCAGACATCCTGACATGCAGTCAGCGCATGGGCAGTTCGCATCACCGGGGTCCGTCGCCATTCAGCCGCCAGTGGTCAGGATACAGTCGTTTTCTTTTCCCCCGACCTCTGTGCAGACAGCTGGCTCCCGACAGACAGCCGGGAGCTTCTACCAGCCTGGTCTCCAATCCGACAGAGGACTGAGCGTCAGCAGCGGCGGACCGGCTGATGACCGGCAGCCCAGGCTCAGCTCCTCGCCAGACGCCCACCAGCGCAGCCGCACGGCGCCGGCCTCACCGCGGCCGCGACCGCTGTTTGCGTTCACACAGCGGGATCTTCACACACAGCGGGATCACCGTTCACACAGCGGGATCTCGGGATCGGGTTCACACTCGTTCACACAGCGCGATGGTCGGTGTCCGACGCGCCACTCTTCTCACGGGAGACGGCATCACTGACGGCGATTGGAGAACACGGGGCGCCACAGCCAGGCGATGATGGGCGCCGATCAGACACGAGGGAGGCTCACCTGCATCGCTGTCGCTGTCAGAGCCGCGCTCCTGCTGCGACTCGGCTCCGTCGTCGGCGAACGAACCGTGGGAGCCGGGGCTCAGGATACCTGGCAACGCCACGTGGGCGCACGTCACACACCGGCTGGCCACCTCATGGGTGGTGAGGCTGCGTTGCTGGTGCCGATACCGGCAGCTATCCCGATCAAACACGTCATCAGGCGATTAGCATAGAAAGACGTCCAGGCATCTATGATCGGGCCGCAGACACACAGGCGCAGAAACAGCGGGCTGGTCTTTTAGACACTACCGCCCCGCCTCAGAGGCACTCGGGCAACCAAAGGTCAACGACCAACCATTCGGCGAAGACACCGTCAGCCACCCCAGCAAACACCGTCGATCACTCCAGACATGCACCGCAGGCATTGGCGGCACCACCGATTCTGAATTTGGGACGACCTTCCGGGCAGGACTTTCCAATTGGTATTTTGGGTGTGGGGTGGAAGAGGGCAAGTAGATCCACACAGCATTACCTGTGGGATCCCCGAGTTGTCAGGACGTATGTCAGAACCCCCCGTGTTTTCCCCTCTCAAAATTTGTCTACGATACCTTTACTCGGAGGAAATGAAACTTGCCTTTCTCAACATGATTTTGGCTCACTGGAATGTCGAAGTGGGCAAAGGCCGTCAGACTCGCGAGCGTCATTGCTTGTTCCAAACCGGCAGCGACATAAATAGCTAAATTACTTATTCTGGTGACGGCGCTGACCTGCAGTGCCGAGCCGTACCCATAATAGCAAGGCAGCATGTATGACACCCTGCCCAGATCAGAGCACTGCGCTGGATAGCTCACCTGTTGACACCGACGAGCCGGAGCCGCGCGCGTCGCCCACACATCTGAAAGCGGAGGGCGGCGACAGCCTGGCCTGTCGGAGCTCCAGTAGGCCGTCGCCGGGCACCGAGCTGCTGAGACGGCTGGCCAGGCTGGCGCTGGAGGCGTGCGGCGCAGAGCTGGCCAGCGACGTCCTCTCCGACGTCCAACCGGGCGCCGGCTGCAACGTAAGGCGGCGCTCTCCGCCGGGCGCTGGCCGGCAGCTGGGCAGCAGCCGGGCGTCACACGGCGGCTCCGACTTCACCGGATACTCGGCGAACTCCGCCTTAATGGTCAGCGTCGTCTTCCCGGGAGACAGGTCGGTCATGTGGTGCGCCGCCAGTGGATCCAGCTCCAGTTCATTCAAGTCGTCGCCCGCGCTCAGCTCGGCCAGTGTCGAGCCAGGGATCAGGTCGCCCATCCCCACGCCCTCCCACATGTCGTCGATCTGGATGTGCTGCAGGTTGCGCGAGAGCTCTGGCTCGTGGCTGCCCACGTGCCAGCCGCCGTCACGCCCCGGACTGAGACTGGACGCGAGCTCGGCGAACGGCGTCTGGTAGGAGGACGCGACGGCCCCGGCCGAACCGCCCAGCTCTAGCTCGCTGCGGTCGGCGCGCCGCTCCGTGAACTCGGGCCGCGAGAACGGCCACTGCGGCCGGCCGGGGATCGGCACGCCCACCGCGTGACCGTGCGGCGCGTGCGGCGCCGCGGCACCGTAGCACTGCTCTCCGGCCACGTCCATGGCGCCGCCAGCATCCGCCGCGGAGCAGACGCCGCCCGACTGCGCCAGGCCCACGCCCAACGCGCGGCTGATCTGCCAGCGACACGGCGGCGCGCTCAGTCGCAGCAGGACGAGCGGCGCACCACGCCGCGCCGCTCAGGTGAAGACCCGATGCGCACACGCGGCACACGCACACCCACAGGGTACAGGAGCACAGTCGGACCGTTTTAAGTCGGAACATACCACATTCCGTTCTGAAAAATGCTTGCTAAGAAAACTTCCGAATCTAACGCATGCTTTTGTGTCTGTGTCTGCGTCTGCGTCTTTGTCCATGTCTATGTCTATGTCTATGTCTGTGTCTGTGTCTGTGTCTGTGTCTGTGTCTGTGTCTGTGTCTGTGTCTGTGTCTGTGTCTGTGTCTGTGTCTGTGTCTGCGTCTGTGTCTGCGTCTATGTCTATGTCTGTGTCTGTGCTTGTGTCTGTGTCTATGTCTGTGCCCGTGTCCGTATGTGTCCCTTTGTCTGTGTGCGTCAGTATATGTGAGCTTGGGCTCTGTTTAGGGGGAGCGCAGCACTGCCGCGGTGAGCAGTGACGCTCCGGTGACGGCCGCGGTGAGCAGTGACGCTCCGGTGACGGCCTGGGACACCGCAGGACTCACCAATGACCCAGTGAGCGGCAGCGAGCCGGCTCCGGTGAGACCGTCGCGCGCACCGCTCGGGCCCGGCCGTGCAGTCCAGGCGGGCGTGCAGAACTCCAGTGTGCGGGCCGGCGCAGCCACCTGCAGCACCAGAGAGGGCTCGTGTCACCGTCCGCTGGCACCGGCCGAGGACGTAAGTACGCTTCGCACGCGGCCGCTTGGTCACTGGCAGTAACCAGCCAGCAATCAGTAAACAGCAAAAAGCTACATTAAACCGGCTTTTGCTATCCGGCGCACAGTAAGGGACAGGGATGGGCTACGCTTCGTTCAACCGCCATCGTTGTCCGACATCAGTGCAATAAAACGCACGCGAACTTGCATTAATCCAGACATTTTCGTCCCGTCGCAAATGCAATGTAAACCACAAGACCCACACATTTTGTATGCATGCAAACAGTACAGTTGAATGACGGGACAGAAGCAAAGCTTTGCCGCGCGTCAAACGACGGGAGCTCGTCTGCATGGCCGGATCCGTCTGCCGCTGGAGCCGGACCGCTGTTGCGTCATACGAGTCAAGACGGCCTGGCCGAGTCGCGTCGTGTAATGCACACCGGGAAAAGTCCTCACCGCAAAAATTCTAAAAATGATGATTCCATACATGTTGGGAAAACCAGCATGTGTTTACCGATTGGTGCTTGGAAAAAAACCTTTGGAAGCGGGGAGAACTAGTACGTGCTAACCGCATCGTGCTATGGAAACGTCTTTTGGCAGTGAGGAAAACGGATACGTCGGCAATCGTGCAGGAGAAAGCCCGGTGGAAATGCCTGAAAACCTAAGTATCAAATGCCCTTAAATGCATTAATCAAAAGTTTTTAATAGACATTCGAAGAGGAGCATCACGAATTGTGAGTGAGACTCGTCGAGAATTGAAGGCAGCGTAAATAGCATGCTGTGTCTATGTATTGGGCGAGTGTTTGGCACGCGTGGCAGTGTTTGGGGCAGACAGAATAAGTGTGCGACTTTGTATGGAGTGCGGCTGAAATGGCTGGAACAGTTCAGAGGTGTTGATTTTAAGAATACCAGTCATGGGGCGAGGGCATTGGTAACGAACGGACAGTTTTAAACTGTTTTGCTGCTGAATGTGCTAACTCTTTCCCTGGATACCACTGTGCCCTGGTATACAAAGTAAGTCAAAGTGATGATGAAATGCCATGGAAGAGAGGCTTTAGCAACTTTGATTTACTATAGCGCATAGAAAGATATATGGCTAATATAGTCTTGAGTGGCGAATTGGAATCAGTGCATATTACGGTGTTGGATATAATAATGCTTAACGCGCTTTGCTGAAAGGGATTTTTATAGACGATGCTCCTGTTTGATTGTATATTCGCGAACCGTTGGCATAGTTGTATGAAAAATCATTAAACTCTTTTTTTCTTCGACCAACGCATGTACCTCTGCACTCATAAAAGAACGTCTTTTGCCTTTGGTCAGGAGCCGGATGTTTGAAGGAGAGTGTAACCAGTGCGGACGCCGTGGAGCGGTGGGGAGTGGTTGTATACTTGGTAAGAGTTGTAAAGGCTAGGCTGCCGGAGGCGGTTGCTGGTCTTTGAGATGTGCTCCGGGTTGTCTGTGGTGGGTAAGTCGGTAAGTGTTCCAAATGTTGGGTGCGTGGGAGTCCTGCGAAACTAGTGAAGTTCCGCAGAAGCAGCATTTTGTTCAGCGTGCGAGGGGAATGCTGGTGTTCGCCACGAGGCAGAGAACTGGCAGAGAACGCAGGGCGCCTCTCGCTTTCGGAGAGCAGCGTTCTGGAGTACCTCGAGCATTTCGTTTTTGGAAGGACATATCGCCAATGATAAACGCATTGCATTCCAAGATCCGTCGAGTCAGGACGGTTTGAAGACAGAGGAGTGTTCCACTGTCGACGCCCCACTCCTGTCCCGCAAGACTATTAGTGGGAGCGTTCCACATTTCTATGGGCTTTTTAGCTGAAATGGCCAAATTAAAGATTATTATGTGCAGTTCACAGCCCTGTCCTCCTTAAGACCTAATCTCCACTAGTTTCTGAGCTAAGCGCCCGCAGAGATGGGGAAACTATTTCAAGAAGAGCATTTTAAAGTCATCTTAGCATTCATGACGTCATAATAGCATAATTCAAACCCCGCCATCCAATAGGCCATGCGGCGATGAAGTCTCAGAAAAATATGATGGTCGAGTCGTTCAAATCTGGCGTTCGCGAGCACGATTTCCAGATATAACGGCCGTTCACTGGCTCTCAATCAATGTTGTGCAGGGCACGATGACGTAATCAAACAAGGACGTGTCTAGGAGGGATTTACTTAACAGAGAAGTTGTGGTGCATATAGTAGTATTTTCCACTAAAGAGTATACCAAAAGTTCTCAAATGTGAAACATTCAGTCTACCTCAATGTGAGCAGCCCAGTTTGATACAACTAAAATAGGGGATGAAAGTGGATCAGCGATCCAAAGTAATGCCAAGAGATATGCGCTGGGATACTGAAGGGATGCTATGGCCAGGGAAGTTGAGAGCGGTCCGAACTGTTAGTTCACGCAATTGCCGAGAGAAGATGAGCTCTGCAGATTTTGTACGAGATACCTGGTGACCCAAACGATCGTAACATGCCTGGATTTGATTCAGCGTTGGGTGAATTGGTTTGCTTGATCGGAACTGGGGTGTGTAAACCATGCCGCCAGGACGGCCGCATAAACTAAGTTATTATTCATGAATGAAAACAAGGACTGGTCAGCTGACGCTCAATTCCGTTTCAACTCGGATCTTATGAAACATGTTCTAAGAGCACATCATGCGGGTGCAGCCAGCCAGTGAACTTGTGCTTAAGGTCTGAACGACCCTGACACAGGCTGCAACACCAGCAAAACAGATAACACTGTTGAAAGAATCCCTTAACTCCCGTTCTATTTCTGGTTTTCTACAACAGGCTTGGATCATTAGTAAGCCTCTGACAGAGTCGTTTGTAGGGGACAGGTCTACTGACTGCGGTGTCCGTTCATCGGCGGCATTCGGAGATTAGCTGCGCTCCGCTTTGGAGCTCCAGTCCGTTGAGTGGCGAGCAGTGCGCGGGTTGCATCATCACGCTGGAGCCACTCGTGCTCCCCGAGGAAGCTCACGCCGTCGACTTAGTTGTCGCCATGTCCCTCTCGCGGACGCCAGCTCCAGCTATGACTTAAGGTCGCCGGGACAACAAATCTCGCGGACGGATGTGCCGCGCTCCCCAGTCACAGTCACCGCATCAGGCACGTCTCAGACGCGCTCATCACGCTCATCACGCTCATCCTAAAACTAACATGGACCAATACTTCCACTGCTACTTATGTTGCAAGACGTGCAGTGCCTATGCGGCCGTGCCGACCAATGTCTTTGCAGACATTGGTCGGGTTCGGTGATGACGCCAACAAGCGTTGGCGAAGAACAAGCAGGGCAACGTCACCCCTGTCTTCGCAGGCAAGTGAATCTCTCTCCCGGGCCTGTGTTTAACCATGATTAAAGTAAGTACGGTCTCCGTGAACAAGTTGGTTCGGTGCCCGTGCTGTGCATCAGAAAACCTTTCATGCTTGTTTAAATGATAACTAAGCGTTCTTCTTTGGAATATGTTCACCGGGTCAGAACTGTTTGTGCACAACACGTTCGATGAAGCTTAGGTATTGCCATAACAATGAGTATTGGTCGAGATTTAGTGGGATCGCTCAGATTGCTGCTTTTTGAGTGGAATGTGACAAGGGGTCGCTTTCCACGCGCCTCACACTGCGCTTCCAATTTTCAATACTAATGACGTCAAGCAAGACAATGGCTTCAAACCATCCCTCTGAAAGTTGTCCGCTCACGCCATCCAGACCGCACGACGTTGTCACACCCATCCCGGACCGTTGTCTGCGTTGTCACACCCATCCCGGACCGTTGTCTGCGTTGTCACACCCATCCCGGACCGTTGTCTGCGTTGTCACACCCATCCCGGACCGTTGTCTGCGTTGTCACACCCATCCCGGACCGTTGTCTGCGTTGTCACACCCATCCCGGACCGTTGTCTGCGTTGTCACACCCATCCCGGACCGTTGTCTGCGTTGTCACACCCATCCCGGACCGTTGTCTGCGTTGTCACACCCATCCCGACCGTTGTCTGCGTTGTCACACCCATCCCGGACCGTTGTCTACGTTGTCACACCCATCCCGGACCGTTCTTTAAGCACGTCATCGAATAACGCCGCGCGTAGCGTAATTAAGCAGGACGTAACACTGGGGAGCCAGATTGGCTGAATGGTTCCTGGATTCGGTACACTGGCGGGCACTCGTAGGTCCTACATCCACAACGTACTCATTAACAGCGTGTGGACGAGCGGTGCACACCAACAGCATTCACATTCTGCTGCCAAGAAGGAGCTCACTGCTCCGCCACAGCTCAGCGCGCCTCACCACAGCTGTTTGTTGTGTGGGGTCGTTCCGACAGCGCTCTGTGGTGGATTCCCGCGTCTGCCCGCTGGTTTCTGTATAATCACCCTGGGAGCTGCGGGGCCGTGCATTACAGCAGTCAGCCATCAACTAACGCGTGGCAGCAGAAACAGGTGGGGCGGATTGACTATGAAGCTTAAGGCGGCTAGAAGATGGGGTATACACTCCTCGAAACGAACCCATGTATTCGATGTCGTGATACTTTGTTGGAAAACAGACCAATCGGCATTGACAAGTGCGTCATTTAGACCTGCAAAATCGAAGCGAGATAAGCATCTGGATGTTTCTGCGGTGATCTGACGTTTTTCTTTCAGCACCCTGAGTAGTGATTACGTGTAGCCCCGCGAGCTGCACTGACAGCTGCTGGTGCCGCAGCGTTGGACAAAAACCACATTAAATCGTGCGGATCTCGTCCGTATGGATCAACCGCACTGATCCGTCATCGTACCTAACAACGATTCAGCCAGTGGGTATACCGGATAGCTGTTGTTTCACATGCAGAGACTGCGGGTTGCAACATTTGTACGAACTACTGGCAACCGGTACTGGAAACTGAACCAATTAAACGGATGCTTGGGTCGCCATCGAGATAGACCGGTCACGCATGCACATCATGCATCGTATCTAGTTCTCTAAACCATCCAAACACCTGTCG